TTACATTAATTTTTTAATAATTCCACTATATTTTTTTTAATTTAAATTTAATTTGTTAAGTTTAAATCTTTATAACCGACTGACCAAACTAAAAATCGACCCAAATTGATATAACCCAAGTTGGTTGGTTTTCACTAATGATTAGTCGGTTTCTAATGACCAATTCCCCAACCTAACCGGGTCAATTTGGTTGGCCAAACAACTTCTAATTTCAGCTAAATTAATAGTCTAATCACTAATAAATAACAATAGTTTAGTCTCTAACAATTACTGAAAATTTATAGCAAAAGTGCACAATTATTGAAAATATATTGATAATGAAAATAAAATAAAAATAAAAAATTACAAAAATACAATAATTATAAAATATATTAAATAATACAATAAATAATTTAATATCTAATAAATAATAATCAATAAATTATAACAAAAACATAATAAGTATAGTAAGTTAAATTTAAAAAGTTAAATAATAGTAGTTTAATATCCAATAATTATTAAAAATTTTCTATTAAAGAACAAAACAAAAATAAATTTATACATAATTATAGAAAATATATTTATCACAAAAAAATATATATATAATTACTGAAAATGCAACAAATATTAATTTTAGTATAGATAAATATATAATAAATATATATTAAGATTTTAAAATTATTATTAATAAATATTAAATTTTTAAAGTTATTTTCTAGAATTATTAATTGATATAAGTGAAATTAGTTATGTACAATATTACTTAGTTATGTAAATAATGTCATTACTTAAATTTTAAAATAGTAATTATTTATTGAATTTAATAATCTGTAAAATTATAGTTTATACTATTATTACATAATTTCTTTATTAATTTTGTAAAATATAAAATTATTATTAGTTTGAATATTATGTTATAATTATTTTTCTACTTTTAATTTTGTTTTAATTTATTACATAATTTCATTATTTGAACTTTTTAAAATCTAGTTATGTTAAATATTTTGTTATTTTTTAAATATTTAAATTATATACAAAACATTTAATTTTTTATTTGAATTTTATTTATTTTAAAGTTATTACATTATATTAAATATTTTGTTATATATATAAAATATTTTGTAAAAATATAAAATTAATAATAATATGAACATTATTAAATCCATTATAATTATTTTTTATGTTTTTAATAAATATTCTAAAGTTATTATATAATTTTGTTAAAATATTAAATGATTTTTAATTTTTTAATTAAATTTTTCTTTAGAAATATATTTATATAAAAAGTGTGGGAGAGGATAAATAGGAATTAGAGATGATTTAGGAGAGAAAGTCTCTACAAAATTAGAGATAATTTATGAGATAAATAGGAATTAGAGATAATTTAGGAGAAAGTGGGGAATAGTTGGGGAGGTAGTTTAGGAGAAATTTTAGGAGATGATATTATTTAGCTTATGGAGAACATGTGAGAGAAAGAAAGAGGAAAGATTTTAGATAATTTCTTATAGAGAAGGAGAGCATTTCGTTGGTTGTTTTAAAAATGACATGGAATAAAAAATAAATATTTAAAAAAATGAGAAAATTTCTAGAATAATGTGTTTTAGTATATACTAGCGAAGGGGCCTTACGTTGTAGGGGCAAAACATGATGGTAAGTGACTTGTCAAAGGTAAATTATTGTATAGGAAAAAATTGTGAAAGGTAAATTTTTTAATATTTAAAAGTTTATTGGAAAAAAAGATCTATTTAAAATAAAAGGTTATGGATAATAATATATTTAGTGTAATAAAATAAAACAACAAATAAATAAATAAATAATCACGACCATCACCATCAGGTAATAGAATGAAAGAGGGAGGGAAGACTTTTGTCATTGTATTCTTTTTTTATATAATGGAATAATTGTAAATAGTTAAATAATATTTAATTTAATTTAATAAATAAATGAATTTAGTAAAATAAATGAGATAAATAGACAATGAAGCGAGAGAGTAAATATATATAAATATATACACGATTATATGTCTTACTTTGCTAGCAATAATAATTTGTTAGATTATTAAATTATTAACTTATTAAATAATTTAGTAAAATAAGTAAAAAAAACAAATAAAACTTTATGTATTATCAACACAAGATTGGTAAAGATAATCTCAAATTATTTAATTAATTAATTTAGTGTTGTTAATAGGTTGGACTGAACTATCGGGCTACCGAGCCTATGAACAAGCTTACACCGGTTTGTGGCCCAGCATGGCTGAAGACTTGGCCCATGGACCAGCCCGACCCATGGCACGACATGGGCCTGTGCAGGCTTGGGATAAAATAAAATTTTAAGATTTTTTTTTAATTTTTGTCTATTTTTTATTTATGTTAAACTTTTCATTTTTTTTTAAAACATGGCTTAGCCTGGTTTGTGACCCAGCCTGGCCTAAGACTTGGCCCGTGGACTAGCTCAACCAATGGCATGGCACGGGCTCGGGCCATATATGATATACAATAATTATATAATAGATTAATATATATAGTTTTATTATATTATTTTATTTTATTATTGCATATATAAACAATTGTACACATCAAAATTTATATAAAATAAAATTTTAAGATCTTTTTTTAATTTTTTTATCTATTTTTAATCTATAAAATCATGGCTTAACTCAGTTTGTGGCCCGATAATAATTATATAATATATAATTTTATTTTCAATTGTATACATCAAAATTCATATAAAATAAAAATTTAAGATCTTTTTAAAATTTGTGTCTATTTATTTTAATTTATGTTAAAATTTTTATTATTTTTCCAAAATTACAAAAAACATGGCTTAGCCTAGTTCGTGGTCCATCCTGGCCTAAGATGTGGCTTGCGGCACGACACAAGCCTGCACGGGCTTAGGCCGAGGGTTGTGCTGGTCCGACCCGCACAACAAGACCCAACATGGTTCACTTGTAAATAAAATGAGAGATAAAGACAATTTTTAATAAATATGAAAAAGATAGAAATTTAGTGGCATCATTGTAAATAGTTAACAGTGTCACCCTTATAAATAAATACATGTTTAGTATCAAATATGAAAGAGGAAAAGGAAAAATGACAAGTTATGATTTTTTTTCTTTTGTTTTATTTTATGTCATGATTGTAATTAATTAAATTTGTAATGGTAATAGTTAAAAGCATGAAAATGAAAGATTATAAGATTATAACATTTTATTTAGGTTATATATATATATATATAGTTGCCACTTTGCATGATAGGAAATTAATGCAAGAAAAATGCACTCACTCATGTGTACATAATAATGGCGTGGTCACTAGTGATTGGTTAAGTAGCAATTTGTACACATAGCGTGGTGAGTAGTATATTATAAGTGGTAAAAGAGTGGTGCAAATTTCATGTCTTTTTTGTTTTTAAGCTTCATGGTGCTACAAAATAGGGTAGCTTGTCTCCATGCCCATACCCCTCACAACCATGGTGGCAATAAGATTTGATCCCAAGTCTTTAATAAAAGCTAGACAATTTACCTACAGAGCCACCATTGATAATTTCATGGCTTTTTTAGAATTTAGAAAAAAAACATATAGATTGTACAACATGTAAAACTGCAAATAATTAACCACACAAACAAATATATACAAATTCAAATAAAAAATTTGGAAAATTTATGGTTTATTCTATCTCATTAATTTTTATTTATTTTTTTGTTTTATTTACTAAAACCTTAACCTATAATACAATATCTTGTATTTTAATAAAATCCCCCACCTGTCGAAATGTATAAATCATTATAAATTTATGAGGATGGAGAATCAATAAAAACTTGATGAACTGGAATTGGAATGGTTCATAATCGTTGGGTTAATCAGAATTCCATTATCATTCCTGGTAGAATGGCATTCCCGAGGTAATGGTCATTTCCTTCGCCTCCCTGAAAAATGAGAATTTATATATTCTAACTGATTTCGACTCTAATTCTCGTGTGAAACAAACAGCCGGGAGGAATATACAATTCCGACTCCGATTTTGGGAACCAAACGTACCCAGAAATTTTGCATCCAGTTAAAATTTAGTTTACATTACGAGTGAATAAAAAAACCTAAAATGACACCTAAATACATCAGGGCGTCTACTGTTTTAAACCTCGTTGACTCGTTGCTCATCCATTGGTGTAGACAAATGACCCGGTCATAATTCTGTTTCGAGTAAATCACTAATCCATGTTATGAAGATTGAAGACCCAGTGACCCAGTCAACAATCAATCAATCAATCAATCCGGATGTGATGGTTATACTCTTGTGGATTTGTATTATTTGATTTGATTTTGAAATTCTTACATTGACCACATTATGTGTTGACTCGTTGACCGTTGACCTGGAGGGGGGAAACGGTTCAACCTCCGAACGTGAAGTCTATATCACTATCATCAATTAAAAATTTAAAATATGCCACCATGATGATTGGCCCCACAACCCACTATTTTTATATTTATGCCCATCTTTTCATATCTCAATTTTCTTGAACCGTGTTTACAGTCGATTACAATTTACAACCCAAAAGGCAAAAGCAAAGTAGTGGGCCTAATTTCCGGGCCGGGATGGCCAGCCAGGCTTGAGGCTTCCCGTCGTCACCATAAAATGCATGCAGCTGCAGCCAGACCCAGTCAAATTGCATAGCAATTCCCTTGACGAACCCAATCCCAACCCAAATCAACAACTTCCCAATTGGCTCGGGAGTCGGTTCTGCAGAAACAGGACCACCAGCTATCAATTTGTCTGGACGGTTGGACCCTTGAAATTTGCCACGTTGGAGACATTCAGAATATCAGGACCTACCATCGCTTGGTCAGTTCAGTTTGGTCCCACACCAAAAATCAGCATGCTTTCTTTCAGATCATCAATCACATCATCCAATCGATCTCGATAGAACAATGGGGGTCCCGATCCTTATCCTCAGTAGGCCTTGTCAACGAACCCTGGACGGGCCGGGCCGGGCCGGGCCAGTCCAGAAACAATCCCTGCAATCTATCTTCTCTGCCCCCACAAACCGCGCATCCATCCATCCGCCTGGCGTCTGCAAGCTGCAACTGTAATCTCCGAGCCTGCTCTCCTTCCCACCCATCGCATTATCAGATAGATGATCATCGGACGCATCTCAAAGTAGCAACTTCACTGTGCCAACGCGACGTGACGTTGAATAGTCCAGCCGATATGTTTGTTTCGTTCTTCTGATACGACTTGTCGCGATGTTACGCATATCGTCCGATACGAGAGAGAGATTCAGAAGCAGAGGCAGAACTCATCCTGGACCTGGTTCTTGCTTTCCTGTGCAAGTAACACGTTCCTGCTTTATATACCAGGAAGAAAGCAAAGACTACGCAACAGAGATCGTCAAGCGAGAGTGAGAGAGATATTTTCAATCCTTGACGCACTAAAATACGCCGATGGGTGAAGAAGGAGATCCTTCTGCTCCTCCTCCTCCTCCTCCGTCTCAGCCGACCGCCGCCCAAGAGGCTCCTCCTTCTTCTCATCCGCCTCTTCGATTCGATCCCAGCCGAAGTAACCCTCTCTCTCAGAATTTTGGTTTCAGTTGACTTGATATATTTCTTGATCTTGAAAGCCCTAACTTTGATATTTAGTTGAACAGTATTCTTTCGAAACTTTATTTCGAGGGTTTGGCTTCGATTTCATTTTGGTTGCGGTGGTTTAGATGCCTTAGAATGATCTTTATCCTTCATCGTCGTTCTGGTTTCCTACTTTCCTATTTTTTGTTTTGTGTAAATTAGTTGTGAAAATTCTTTCATCCAATCTTTGATTCGATTAGTTCTAGGGTTTCTATTTTCCTCTCTAGTTTTTTTTTTCTTTTTTCTTTTTTTCTTTTTTTTTGAATTTGGAGATGATCCTAACAAAATAAAATATATGTACATTAATTAATTCCTTTGGGCTTTGAAGGATATATGACACCTTCTGGCTTAGAAGTTTTGATTTTCTCTAGTGCTTCCAGAGCATCCTTTCAGTGTTAAACCCAGAAGCTTAGTCTTTAATTTCTTCCTTTTTGTTTGTGCGTGTGTTTTGGGTTTGGAGGGGGGGTGGGGGGGCTCTTGAACTTTTGTGGATTTGATTATACTATTTATTTAGGTTTAAATCTTGATTTTGGTGTATATATTGACTAAACTCCATTCTTTTGCCATAATTTGTACCTACACATGCATGCGTATGTTAGCCCATAGTTGCCAAGGGGCCTAGCTGATTCTAGGCGACAGTGGGGTGCCTAGTCATCCTAGGAGGGGGCCTAGGCGATAAGAATTTCATAAAATAAAAAAAAACTAAGTTTTTCTTACTTCTCTAGGTTTATATGCAATTCAGCATGTATATTAAGTGGAAAAATAGCAATTTTATTTATTAATAACATTAAATTTCCTCTCAAAACATGGGAAATCAACATATCTAGGACAATAGTATTTCAATTATATTAATTTCAATACCTTAAAAATGATACTAATATAATAAGTATTTAATAGAACAATTTCATATCAAATTAGCAACTAAAGAATCATTATAATTTTATATGATAAAATTTAAGACAGAGAGTAAGTGAAAGAGAAAGAGAATAAGATTGTAGCTTCTGTTTATGTAATGTAAGAGAAAGATAGTAGGAAAAACAAAAACGAAAACAAAAAAAAAGAAAGAAACCTCTTCATATGTTTATTCCTTTTTCTTTCTCTTCTCAAAACCTTTGGATCTTTTAAATTTCAATAGTGTAACTTTAAACAAAGCATAAATGGTTTATAGTATATAATATAATGTGGCAACATACATAATAGTAAGATGTAGAAATTTGAATGATATTGCAACAAGGCACTTGCCTTATAATTTTATTTGCCTAGGTGGACACATATCGCCTAGGTGAGCACATATATCGCCTAGGTTGGCACATAGTTGCTGTAAACAAGGCGTCTAGGTGAGGTGCCAAGCCAAAGGTGCCTAGTCAATGCCTTGACAACCTGATTTGGTCAGCTGATGATATTGTTGAGTATTGGTTTCAAAGCAACATCTCTAAATGGTTTCCAACTGACGATATAGACAAGAAAGGGCCAAGTCTGAAACTAGGAGATACTCTTGTACAAGACTGATCAATGAGTTGGTTGGTCATGTATGTGTGGTTATTCTTTTTTCCTTTGTACCTGTACTAGATATTTCCTCTTTCATTTATTTGAGTCTTACTTTGATTTTTTTATTGGTAGATGCTTATTTCCATTTTTTTTTTGTAGTGATTGGCATTATCAAAAGAAAGGCCCTGATTAAAAATCTGGCTGCTGTGTATCATGCTGAGTGTCTTGCATACTGCCAAGAACTTCTTGAACTCCAAAGAAAATGGGAAGAGGTTAGAAATTTCTGCTCCTTTTTAATTTATTATTACATTCTGTATATCAAGATTAGCATCGGATATGCCTTATATGCATTACTATAATTGATGGTTAGATGGTATCATGGCGTTAACAAACTCATAAGTGAAATACCATTTCTTGTAACTGRAACTGTCTATTGATAGCATGGTGGCATAACTAGCATGGAGTAGGGATTGGATTGATGCCATTTAATTTGTTCCCAGTAGGATAATATTGACCTTCCAATTATTGCATCCTTCTCAGTTTTCATGAACCATAAGGGAAAAGTTCCACATTTCTTGGCCCAACTGTATTACTGGTGAATTGATTAGTGTTATTGCATATATTTATATCTTTAATTTATAGTATTGATGGTTAGATGGTATCATGGCATTAACAAACTCTTAAGTGAAATACCATTTCTTGTAACTGGAACTGTCTATTGATAGCATGGTGGCATAACTAGAATGGAGTAGGGATTGGATTGATGCCATTTAATTTGTTCCCAGTAGGATAATATTGACCTTCCAATTATTGCATCATTCTCAGTTTTCATGAACCATAAGGGAAAAGTTCCACATTTCTCGGCCCAACTGTATCACTGGTGGATTGATTAGTGTTATTGCATATTATTTATATCTTTAATTTATAGTAGCTGAAGTTTTTTATTCATGACCATAATTTCAATTACCAGTTGCTGATTTTGTGCCACCTAAAGTCAATATACAGGTTTTCTACAAATTCTCTGTTCATTAACAAACTAGTTAGATTTTCTGGAAGAAGTGGCACTTTAAACCAATGTTTTAAAACGCGGAGGCATGCACCTCAGGGCGTTGTGGGGGCGCCTCACCTGGAGGCCCAGGTGTATGCCTCCCATGCCTTCTAAAATACTCCTTTAAACTTGTTTTAGAAATAAGAACCTGTTGACTCTCTAACTGTACACAAGGCTTAGAGCTGTTCATGGGCTGGGATCAGGCCAGGCTTTACTAATTAACAGAAAATGTCCAGGCCTGAGCCCTAGCCTGGCCTGATTATTATCCTATTCTTGAGCCCATGCCTGTAGTCCGGGTGTACGTTATGCAATATCTTAGTTCTATTTTCTAATTCCATACTTTTTAACTTGTTCCCATCCAATCACACATTTTGCACAACAAATATGTTGCTGCCCAAGATACAATTATACACCTAAGTTCAAAAAAAAAAAAAAAGAATCATACACAAAATATAAAAGACAAAATAGAAATACAAGTTATTACCCAATACCACCTATTAGGTGGTATAGTCCAAGCCTGGCCTAATATATATATATATCCAAGCCTGGCCTAAAAAATAATTGGGCTCTCGAGCCTGAGTCTGTGAGCCTAAATATATGCTTGAGCTTGATAAAAAATGGGTCAGACCAGACAAGCCTTGTCAATCTTCTAGGTTATGAGAACATCAAGAGTTTCAGGGGTGTCAAATTGAATGCACGACCCTCACCCCCAAAGAGCCTATATATCTTATTAGTTATAAGTATTTACAAAGAGGCCCTTGAAGGGATAAAGATAAAAAAGAATAATTACTAAGAGGTCCTTGGAGGGCTAAAAGATAAGAAAGAAAATAAATGCTATGGTACAATAGGGATCATGGAACTACAATACATTAAGTATCTCTACACTCCCCCTCAAACTGATGCTGAGATAAGCATTAGTTTGCCCACAAGAAATAGATGTCTAGATCTCGTCATAGGCTTTGTGAGAATGTCAACAATCTCTAAGTCGGGAGCTATATGAGGAAGGGATAGAGCTAGCAAGAAATAGATCCCTAATGAAATGACAATCCACCTCAATGTGTTTGGTTCTCTCATGAAACTCTGGATTAGATGCAATCTTGATAGCGCTAGTTTTATCAGCATAGAGAGGAATAGGCGTGGGGAGGTCAACACTAAGATCAACAAGAAGAATTGAAGCCAAACAATCTCACTACATACTGATGACATAGCCCTATATTCGGCTTCTGTAGATGACTTAAAAACTGTCTGTTGTTTCTTACATTTTCAGGAGATAAGGGAGTCTCCCACAAAGACACACCACCTGATAGTAGACCGTCTGGTGTCAAGACAACCTGCCCAATCTGCATCAGCATAAGCCCTTACTTGAAAAGGAGAGGAAGAAGAAAAGAACAGTCCCTGAGACAGAGTGCCATGAACATAACGGATAATTTAGTGGACAACAGTCATGTGGGGGTGATGTGGGGCTGAAACGAATTGACTAACTACCTGAACCACATGGGAAATGTCTAGAAAAATCATGGTAAGATAGATGAGAGACCCAACCAGTTGTTGGTATAGAGTAGCATCAGGAAGCAAGGTCCCATCAAATTTATACTTCTTGACATTGAGTTCCAAAGGTGTATCAACCTGTTTGGTGTCTGTAAGGCCAGCAATCTTAATAAGATCATATGCATACTTGTGTTGACAAACAAAGTAACCATGGTTGCTATGATGTACTTCTAGCCCCAAGAAATAAGTAAGAGAACCCAAGTCTTTCATACGGAAGGAACTGTGGAGAAGGGACTTAAGTTCTTGGGTTCCAACCTCATCATCCCCTATCAATAACATATCATCTACATACAACAACAAGATTGTAATGCCTTGAGGTCTTTGAATATGAAGAGAGAATAATTAGAGGCACTCTGATTGTAGCTAACAACCACTACAACATCTCGGAATTTCTCAAACCAGGCCTGGGGAACTTGTTTGAGACCATATAAGGATTTCTTTGACTAACAAACAAGACATTCACATCTAACTGATGAATGGCCCATGAATGTGTAGCAGATAAAGATAGGAGGATACAGACTGTAATAATCTTGGCTACAGGAGCAAATGTCTCCTCATAGTCAATGCCATACTCTTGGGTGTAGCCTTGAGCAACAAGCCTAGCTTTGTACTGGTCCAATGAGCCATCTAATTTCAGCTTAACTGTGTAAACCCAATGGCTTTCAATAATCAAAGCATGAGGGACGAACTACCAAATCTCAAGTGGCATTCTCCTGTAAGGCATGAATTTTTGCATCCATGGCATCTCTCCAATGAGGACTGGTAATGGCCTGCTTATATGAGCGGGGAATATCTATGATAGATAACACAACAGAGAAAAAACTATGGTTTGAAGGGAAGCCATAACGGTCAGGGGGTCTAGAAATATGAAAGGAATGACGAAGAAATGTGGAAGGAAGAGAATTTGAAGGAACGTCACTTGTAGGAACATTAGTGGGGGGATGATCTGGGCTGGGAGGAAGTAGGTTGGAGGTCTAGGATCTAGGGCATGTAATCTTTTGCGAGAGAAGACGAGAAAGTCCTTTACACTAGTAGGAGGAGAAGCATCTTGTGAGTCAAAATTCTGCAAGACGGAAACAGATGGAGCAGATAACTTTGCAACAATAGAAAAAAAGGAGATATGCTCACGAAAAACAACATTTTGAGAAACATGAATGCAATGAGCAGAGGGATCATAACAAAGAAATCCTTTGTGATGTAGACTATATCCCACAAAAGCACACATAACAGACTGAGTAGATAACTTGGAATGTTCACAAGGGGGAGATGAACAAATCAAAGACACCCAAAAACATGTAGGCTAGATAAGTTTGGTGAACAACCAAATAGTTTCTGAAAAGGGGACATATTAGTAATAATTGATGAGGGAACATGCCATATTAGCAATAATCAAGAAAATAACAGTACTAGCAGCCTCTACCCAAAATGAAGAAGGTGCACGAGATTCTTGTAGTTGGGTTCTCACAACACTGAGCGCATGACCATTCTTACGTCCTGCCACTCCATTTTGTTGAGGTGTATCTGGACAACTTCGTTGAACTTGTATCCCATTACTTCTCAAGCAAGGCTTAAAATGTCGATGTCAGTGGAAATGTCGATTATCCAAATATAAGAAACATGTCGGAAATATTGTATGGAAATATTGTGAAAATTATAGACATAGTGAAAACATTGTAAAATATGCAAACTATAGAATGATATTTTATGAAATGGAAAAAGAAGCATAGGTGCACCTTTTTAAATTATTATCTTGTTTCAAATTATTAAACAAAACTAAGAAACTAAGGTTATAGACAAAAGAATATGTTCTGAAGTTGCCCTGTAAACCTTAAGCTTTAGAACTTCATGATAGAATTAGTTAAAGCAAAATTTAAACTCATAGAAAATGTAAATGGTTGTAATAGATCAACCAAATAATCTACTACAAAAACGAAAACTATTATTTAACTTCATGTTTGAAATGAATATTGAGCTAGCTCAAAGTTGTAATCATGTAATTTAGGTGGACAGTAGCTTGTTACTTCACATATCTACAATATTGTCACCAACTTATGTTATAATACTATCTCTTGTACTCCACATAGTACTGGTAGTGTTCATTAGGGAATATGTCAATTCTAGTAAAATTTCATGTTGCTACCCATGGAAGTGAAAATGGAAATATGCCGTGGATACTATCTCTTGTACCCCACGTAGGTCTGGTAGTGTTCATTAGGGAAATGTCAATTCTAGTAAAATTTCGTGTCACTACCCATGGAAATGGAAATATGTCGTGGAAATATTAGGGAAATTAGGGACATTTTATACCATGTTCTCAAGTAGGTTAAGAAGTCTACATTAGTGTATTCTCGCCCTGAATCTAAACGGAGAATACGTATATGAGACTAAAATCGGACTCGTATCATAGTATGAAAAATCCAAAATGTAGGATACACTTCAGATTTATGTCTCAGAAAGTAAATCCATGTATACTTGGTGCAGTCATCAATAAACAAGACAAAGTACTTGTATCCAAGTCGAGAAATAACAGATGAAGTCCAAACATCACTATGTATAATCTCAAATGGTGAGGTGGCATGCTCAGATATGTGAGAAAAGGGTAGAGTGCGACTTTTACATAAGCAACAAGAAACACACGAGGTATCAAAAGTACTTAAAGAAGAAATTTTATTTTTAATAGAACCAGAGTCAAACAAAAATTTTAACTTTTCAAAATGAGGATGTCCCAAACGTTTATTCCATAAATCCCAAACATTATTTTTTGTCATTTTTTTCTAACAATAGATTCAAAAGAAAATGAACTAAGATATGCCGAAGTTGCTAGTGCTTTAGGATTCTCGAACTGCAATGCAAATAAACGGCCCAACCTACGCCCCTTCCCTTTCACCTTCCCAGTGTACCAGTCCCGAATCAAACAACTATCATGAGAAAAAGTAAGTATATATCCTTCATCAGCAAGTTGACCAACAGAAATCAGATTAGTAGTAAGATTAGGTACAAGAAAGGTTTTGGTAAGAGGAAAGGAGGCAATAGATGACAACTTAAGGGAAATGTCATTGCTACCAATGATATTCAGTTTTTCACCATTGGCAGTAATGAAATTGTCTATGATGGGATTTAGGAATGTTATCTAGGGGTTCAGAATAAGCTCCTATCATATGATTAGTTGCTCTAGAATCAATTATTCAAATATGAAACTGAGAAGAACAGTACCCAAAAAACTCACCAAACAAGCCAATGTCAGAAAAAGCAAAGGAAATAGTAGATGATACTAGTTGTCGAATTTCATCCATAGATGCAAGAGATGTAGAAGATTCACCCTTAGAAAAAGAAGCATCAGTGGTTTGGCTCTCAATCACTTGATATGCACGTGGATGGTTCTTCTTCTGGGCACCTTTAGATGGTCTAACTGGACAGCCTGAGATGATGTGACCATACTATGCTGCTTACAATAGGTGCAGACATTCTTCTTCTTACAGTGAGAAGCAATGTGTCCAAACCCCTTGCACTCATAAAACTGTATTTTGGAGAAGTCCTTAGCACCAGATTTATTGTTTCCATGAACAACAAAAGCTGTATCAGGCCCAAAGTTAATTAATTTTCCATCAAAACTTGCAGTAGTTAAAAAGTAGTCTCCTCCCTCAACAATTCTCCCATCACTGAATCCTAATCTGGAATAGTCCTTCTACTTGGTATGTTGGACTTCAAGCCTAAGTCTCATAAGGAACTGATTCACTTTTCTTTTCTTTTCTCAAAGTGTTGTTGGAGATACTTGACACATTCTACGGGATCTGAAGATTCTATATTGATAAGTTCATACTCTTCCTACAAATCAATAAAACGGCATAATATTTCTGAATCTTCTTATCTCCCTAACAGTAGGAAAAGATTTCAGATTCAATCTGATATTGTCTGGACATGCTGGATTGATGGTACACTTTCTTCAAATATGCATACATCTCATAAGCTGTATGCATCATTCTCATGGTTACAATAATATGAGAAACAATTGAGCTGAGTATCCAAGAAACTAATTTCCCATTATCCAACTTCCATTGTGCATATCCTTTGATATCAATTTCATCTGCCTTAGTAATCCTCCCATCCAAATATCCCTCTAGGCCTTTCCCTTCAACAAAGAAGTCGAAATGGAACTTCCACATGCTGTAGTTAGTTCCATCGAACTTTATGAGAACGATATCAGTCTTTTCAGACATTTTGAAACACACTCACAGTCCAAAATAGGTTAACAGACTTCAAGAGAGGGTAACAGTCCAAAAAACCGGTGATTAATCACCCAACTAAAATCAGTAGCAAATCAACAACAATACTGAAATAATACTCCACCAAAAAAAAAATGAGGTTTCACTGCAGAAATCTCAAAAAAAAAAGGGCTGTATCAATCTCAGTCCTAAAATGGTAAGTTTAGGACTGTCAACAACAAGATGGGATTGAAATCCTATCAAAACTGATCCAAACTTCAAGGCAGAATGATGAACAGATAAAGAAGGCCTGGGTGACACCAACTACAAAGTTCTAGGCTGATTGAATCAGCTGATTTTTCAAAAAAAAGAAGACAATCTGACCTGCTGGGTGTCTTTTCCAGAAAAAAAGATATCAGCTTCGTCTGATCCAAAACAGCACTTAAAAAATTTCAACCAGGATTTGAGAATGATCGGAATTCTCCTTAAACAGTTCACTAATCACCCCAGAACTCAAACAAATCAGCAGCTGAAGGATATGGACTGCTCTGATACCATGTCAATCTTCTAGGTTAAGAGAACACCAAGAGTTTCAGGGGTGTCAAACTGAATGCACGACCCCCACACCCAAAGAGCCTATATATCTTATTAGTTATAAGTATTTACAAAGAGGCCATTGAAGGGTTAAAGATAAAAAAGAATAATTACAAAGAGGACCTTGGAGGGCTGAAAGATAAGAAAGAAAATAAATGCTATGGTACAACAGGGACCATAGAACTACAATACATCAAGTATCTCTACAAGCCCACTAGGCTATCCATCCTATGAATAGGTCTACTCTTCTGACATTGTTTCCTTTGAATCACATTGCTAAGGGAGTGCCTAGTCGAACCAGATGACTATTAAACTTTATATTCCCCTAGTGTGGAAGAGATAATTCTGCTTTAGAAAAACTGCATAGACCTTTTTTTTCCCACCAAGGTTACTTTTAGATAAGGTTTATTTGCTTGACTCGAAGTTGATAAAAAAGGGTCATGCCAGAATTAAGTCTACTTGCTAATAGAACTCAGGGACTGTTTGATAATGGCTAAAAGTGGCTGAACTGATTGACTTATTGTCTTTTAGTGGATAAAATAGTCATATAATGAAATATTTAGGTCATAGTAACAGATGACTTACAAGTTACAACCTACTTGATGATTTGTTCACTAAAAAATAAATCAATAGTTCATTCAGTTCAGCCATTTCAGTTGTTATCAAATGGCCCCTTGGTCAAATACATGGATATTGTATACCCCCTCCCCCAAAACAGGCAAAAGAAAAAAGAAAAGGCAAGAAAAAGAAAAAGAAAGTTGAAAGATGCAAACAAATTAGATGAGATTAACAAATTTTGATTTGTTCTAAATTCTCTAGATGGTATGCAATTCAAATTTAGGTATTTAGGACTTGGCTTATTCAGTTCAGTATCTACCAAAACCAAGTTGGTTTGGCTGACTGGATACAACTTCTTCAAGGCTTCAGTCCCCCATAATATAAGGAGATCCATCTGGTTTCATACCCATACATGAGAGCAATACCTTGGTGCATAATTTTTTTTATCAGTACTTTTGTCAATGTTTTAAGCCCAATATTTCAAACTTCTGGATTTAGGTATGATAAGAGAGGTAGAGGACCAATAATACACCTCACCATAGTGGGTTGAACATCAAAAAACATTAATCCCTTTGCAAACAATGTCTTCTGCCTATCATTGTATATCCTCATAAATATTCAACAGTTTTTTTTATGAGAAATGAATGCAAATCTCATCTGGTTTTCTGCTTTATGCTGCAATAACTCAACTTGGGTTCGGTAACAACAGTCGTCATGTAATGTCGGAAAGCTTGGATAGATGTTAAAGAAACAAAATCAAATACAAGTGACATGATGTGGATCAATGATATATATCACTTTACCTTAGGGACAGGTCATATTTTCAAATCTTAGCATTGTAATTTTATGAGTTGTGATAAAATAGTGACCCAGGTGGCTCATTAAAAACTGGTTGGATTGTTGAAATCTCAATGGTTTTTAACAGTTTTCATGGGTCATCCAGTTTTTCAGAAATTTAAAAGAACCGGTGATCTAAAATACAGGAATGGCAACCAGTTCCCAGTTTTCGTGGGTTAATCGTCTGGTCGGGTAAAGTCTTATAACATTGTATTGCAAGGTTGTGGCAACCTTTGTATATATTCTGACTCTGGTATTCTTTTGACTATGAAAAAGACACGATATTAGATTGTTACAGCCATTTTTTTTGATAAGTAGATTTTTACAGCCATCAAACCATGTCTAGTTTTAACTTGGAGAATGTCTAGGTATAATCCCATTATTTGATATCTGCCAAGTTACTGATTGACAATTTCCTTTAGTAGGTTCTAGTTTTCTATAAAAGCTTGTTTTAATTGGTCCTACATGATATCTAAACATCACTTTATGAAGTTAGAGATTTGTTATAACCGGTTCTAATGAAGCTTCTTATATTTTGCAGCCATTTATAGATAGAAAAGCTCCTGAGAACAACACGAGGAAAGAAATGATAAGGCCATCCAAACGGCTGAAGAAGACCCGCTAAGCATTCACTCCATAAGGTTCACAACATTTGTCCTCTATGTAGAACTGTGTGAAACATTTTGAACATTTCCCACGCCCATGTAATTCTAAACCTTGTTTTTTTCCCTTTTTTTGTTACAGCTAACCTTTTCCCCAAATGGCAAATATCATTTACAGTGAGATGCAACATCGGTTATTGTCATTATCTTGACTTTAGGTGTTTCATATGGTTGGTTGCTTGGATAAGTATACAGATATGACTGGCTCTCTCAGAGGTTTCCAGCTGCTCCATACAAGCATGAATGTTCTCTGGTCCTGTAATGCACTTGATATTTAAAGAAACTATTTGGAAGATCAAATGGCTAAAGCATGACCAATTCTGTTTATCTGTATTAGTAGCATAAATGTATTGTCCTGGATGCTCTGTCCAAGGGTGCCCTTGCCATTAGTTTTTTCTTTTAATTTTTATTTAAACTCATCCCAATATCTTGGGTTGCGAACTTGTGATCACAACTGTAATACATTCTTATTAGTGCAATGGTTTTCCTCGTTATTATTATTCTTTATTTGTATTTTGCAAAAATAACCTTCGCCCTCCCTAAAAAAGAAAAAATTTCGTTTGGCATGTTTAGCTTGTAGGTGTTTTCTACTCTGGTTGATTTGCCAAGAAATTCTGCAATGTCAACGCCATGTAGGCATTTTTAGAGCAGTAAAGTGGGCTTGTCCACCCACTGGTCGGCACAGGCCAGGCTTGGCACGGCCCAGTCCAATCGGGCCATGCTCAACCCATATCCCCTGTGTCGTGCTTGAGTTTTGAGACTCACGGGCTGGCAATACACGACATGAAAAAGTGAGTTGTGCTGGCACGACCCACAGCCCAACACGACAATGCGAATGGTGGCCTGGCATGGCATGGCGCAAAGCCAGTACGTTATGGGCCCCGTTGCCCCGCCTGAATAATATTTTGCCTTTGTGTATTTAACTATGGAGGGCCCCAACAGTTATATTTCGCTTATTTGGGTGTAAACTGAGTTAGGAGGCGCTGGGGTATGTGTATTTTGCCTTTAGGGTGCAAAAAATGACTTAATGCCTCCAATAACTATATAAGAGATTGTTTGAGGGACATCTTAGTAAAGATCAGTAAAGATCACAGTACCCCTCTTAACAACTATAAAATGGTGTTTATTTGGTCAATTAAATTATTTTCAACTTCTAGAAATGCCCTTACCTCTATTTTAATTGCACCAATTCTCATATTTTACATATTCTCACATATCACAAACTCTCGTATTTTTTCATACTCTCATTTATTCTTTTATGCTTCTAATTATTAATTCTCAATTTTATTCAAGTTTTAAGAAGACTTGTACAAGTGTTTCAAGTTAGCAATTTGGGAGACTTAAAAACTTCATAAGGTGACATTAAGTTGGTAATTGATTTTCATGTTTTAGGGTTTTAATATTTCAATTTTTTTAATAGCCGGTTCTTTTCAAAATCCATTTCCAACTTTAGCATTGATTATGTTTAATCACAATACGTTAACACCCATGTGGGTGTCTAATGAAGCCACCTCTTCTAGTACTAATGCTAGGGGTGGCATGAGAAAGACCAACGATGTTTAGAATATGTTTAATATGGAAACTATTGAGGGAAAGGGAAAAAGAATTGTTTGCATAAAATGTAGGAGTGATTTTAATTATAGTAACAAATAGTCCTGTCAATGATACTCAAATATCTGAGTACCGATCCAATATCCGGTCTGATTATCTCGGATTCGGATGATGTATTTATATAATTGTATTGGATTTGTATGTTACAATCGATTTATAATCTCGGATTCGGATGATACTCAAACATCCAGTCTAATTATAGTAACAACGATGTCTACATCATATTTATAGTCAAATGGAATTCAGATTTGACCCTACCAGATCCGATTAAAATCCATCCAATTATATTATAATTTATTTTAATATATAAATTTTATATAATTATATTTAAAATTATAAAAAATACATTTTATATATTATATTATATATGAATTTATATATATAATAAAGTTAGTATGTTATATTTACATTAATTTATTATATATAAAAGTTGAAAAGTAATTAAATTTTTATTTTTTGGTATTTTAAAAAATAAAATCAAAGTTGGATTAAATCCAAATCAAATCTAAATTCGCTAGAATTCGAATTCAAATATGAAGTCTTCATATCCAATTGGATTTTGGATTGGATTTGGATGCTAATTGGATCGGATTCGGATTATGCTGAATCCGACCCAAAACCAATCCAATTACAGCCCTAATAACAAAGGTGGTATTGGCAATTTGGCTAGTCACATGGTTAGGCATTTGAGAACAAACAATGAAAAACAATCACAAATTGGGCATAGGCTTTTCAGTAATTTTTAATATTCACAAAAAATGAGGTAAGAACTAGCAAACTGTATTGCACATGTTGAACAACCACTTTTATTAGTTGAAGACCTTATGCTTGAAAGATTTTTATAGCAATATATAAATCCCCAATTTAAAGAAGTTTCTAAAATTACTATTAAAACAAATGTTTTAATTTTTTTATTCATATAAATAAAATTTAATTTTTACTTTGTCATTCTTAATTCTAAAATTTCACTTATATTTTGACTTGTAAATATAATATAATATTAGTTATGTTTGTGTCAGTATTTCACAACACATTTTATTGATGATCATGGATTTTATAAAAACGAATTTTAAGTTTTATAAGACTTAGATGGCTTTATACTGACTAAGCAATTATTACAAGTATTTTTAACTAATTTACATACTTATGGTATTGAAAATAAAGTTAATTTTATTAGTTTTAATAATGCTAGTAATAATGATTCAACTATAAATATTTTAAAATCTCAATTAAAATAATTTTTAAATAAAAAATTATTTCATATTAGATGTATATGTCACATTTTAAATTCATGTGCAAAAAGCTTTGAATGTTATTTCACCATATATTTCTAAAGCTAGAAATTGTATTATATATAATACAACTTCTAGAATAAGAAAACAAGAATTTAAATATTTATGTCAAAAATATGGGATAAAATATAAAAAAATTGTATTAGATGTTTAACACAGATGGAATTCTAACTATTCTATATTAAATAGTTCTATTCTATATAAATACATTTTTACTAATTTTTATAATGAGAAAATGCCCCATGATTTTTTCAATGATAATTGGGAAATTGTAACTTGTACAAAAGATTTATTTACAACTTTTTTTTTATGATACAACTTATGTATGTTTGATTGTTTATTATCCAACATTTTGTATTTTACTTAATCAATTGTTTATAATTAGTTTTAAAAATATAGAAATGATTTAAAATTTAAAAATACTATTGATGTAATGGAAATTAAATTTAAAAAATATTGAAAAAATATTTCTCTTTTATATTGCTTAGTTGCAATATTAGATCCTACGATTAAAAAGGATGGTGGTTTAACTTGAATTATATTATGATAATATAAGAATTAATCTTGAAACAAAAAAATAATGTTAAAAATTTATTATTTGAAATATATAGTACATATGAATCACAAACATTAAGACATAGGAGAGCTTGTAGTGGATTGGATAAAGTTTGGCCATTAATAAATAAAAGGCAACAATCAATTGTTACTTCATCTGCAATTCCATTTACTGAATTTTATTTTTATTTACAAGTTAATTTAACATATTTTCTCACCTCTAAGGTTGAGTTTGGAAGGAGTACAAATGCAAATATGTAGAGTGCAAAACCTTATATTTTGTATTATTTTGCATGTATTTATGCTGTACATATTTGCATTTGTACTGCTTCCAAACTGAGCCTAAGGAATTACATAATTATGATACTTTAGCCTAATGTAAAGAATTGGAAAAAAATATTTAGTGCTTGCCACCATGGCACATGATCTTACTAACCCTTCTATTATTGTTCATAGTTCTATCGGAGTCTTATTTTAGTACAAGGGTACTAGATAATAAGAGAAACTGCATGAATGACAAAATTAGAGATGTGCATATGTTTTAAAGATCGGTTAGATGTAGAAGACAAACTACAAGATCAAGGAGGATATAACCTTTAACTGATCATTCATCATATGCACATGATCTAGATCAAGATCAATGAGATGGAGGAGGTGGAACTTGAAGTTGAAGAAAATATTGAAGTCAATATTTTTTTTTGTATATTCAGTAATTGTTATAATATTTTTACAATTATTATATATATATTTTTTAATTTTATTTAAAAGTTATTTGTAATTCTTCTTTTAATTTAATTTTATTACTTCAAATATGATTAATTATTTGAAGTGAAATTAGAATTTGTTTTTCCAAGTCTCTAAAATAGTTTTGAACCATTCACTAAAAGAAGAGAATTTTTTGGCATGCTCTAGGTTTAAGCTAAGCCCCAAACCAAACCATATGCATCTTGATTTTCACAAAGTAGTAAAGCATGAAGGGTAGATTCCACATCTTTCTCACATATGGGACAAGTATTGGAAGAAGCAATATCTCTATGGAGAAGGTTCTCCTTGATTGCTAAAGCATTTACACAACACTTCCACACTAATATCTTGATTCTAAGCTCAGCCTGAATATGCCAAATTTGGTTCCAAAAGCCCTAGTCCAAAGAGATGTAGATTCTTTTAGATTTTAAAACTTAAAAATCAAAAGAGAAAAATAAATGGGCAGACTTGACTGAGAATGTGTCTTTCTTAGTTTTATTCCAAACCATCTTATATTATTGCCTTTGTTTACTTTTTACAAAATTCCTTTTTTAAGGACTGGCCTTCCTACCAAAACACTCCTTCAACCCCATGAGTGATTGTTTCTAACTTTTGCATGAGGAAATGATCATCAGGGAAGTACTTTGCTTTAAGAACTTTTTCCCATAAGCTACTAGGATCATGGCAAAGCCTCCATGCTAACTTAGGGGGGTGTTTTGTAGTGTGGATTGGTCCACACAATACCCTATGGCAACGACCAATCCACACCACACCACAGGCCACAACTGTTCTGAACTGTGGGCAAATTGTGTGGACTGGACCAGTCCACACTACACTTTTTTTATTCTATGTATCTCATATACATTTTATGAATGATATATATAGTTAATCATAAATATCTAATTTTTGCATTTTATATGATAAATATTTTAAAAAATGCATCAATGAATTAATATTAACCAATAAATATTATGTTTTTATAAAACAATAGTAAAATAGTTAAAAAATTTTAAAAATATATTTTTAATTTTTAAAAATATTATTTTTATTGATAAAAACATTACAAATTTATAAAAATTAAAAAATTAAGTATAATAATTAATATTTTAGATCATACAACCAAAATGCAACTGTAGGAAGTTCAGAGATAAAACTGAAGGTGTATCTCTGTGTATCTATAATTTGTCTTAGATCACACAACCTTTAACCCCTGCTCTTTGAAGCATGGGATCAAAAATAAACTGTGGAGGGGACGTATCCATGAGTTTTTTCTGTTGACGATATATTGGGGTGTATACAGGACCG